TTCGCTTAACTTCTTTAGAGTTTACGTAGTCTACGGCCTGTAGCCGCATATAGCTGGAATTAGTTGGTCGTTCGAGGACACTTCCCAGCGACCCTCTGAACGCTAAGAGTTCGCGAAAGAATCTTCAGGAGATCCGTTATCCTCGAGGGGCCAATTGATTCTCCATCGATTCATAGAAACGCTTTTTACGAAGCCGTTAGTTGAACCAGTAAAAACATCTCCGAGTTCAGTCATCTTTTAGTCGGAACTGGCTGACCAGTTCTCTTAGAATTTTGCTTGGACTCGTTTTAATCCCGTGTGTATCCAAAATGGTCCCGATCGACTCCGTTTTCTCGCAAGACCGACGATCCCCTCGCGACGAGCACAACCGAGGAATTGAATCTCGTGCGACGCTCGGAATTATACGCGATCGAGATCACGCGACGATCCGCCACGATCGAGTCGTAATGCGATCCCACGGACTGCTTGCTGGCAAGAGTGGGCGCGCGCGTGTGTTCTGCGTGTGTGCGAGTGTGCGTGGAAAGTAATCGACGTTTGCCATGACGCTTCGCCTCGCATGGTTATGTGTATCTGAAAATTCTCGAAAAAGCAAAGACAGGTTTCCAGCCGAGCCAGCCGATCCCGTCGGAGTCCCGGGAACACCGTGGACGTCGCCGCTTCCGGTCCAGAGAAGATTTCACCGTCAACGATATCTCATACAACTTCTCCTGATTTTCTGTTTTTCTTTATCTACCCTGTATTATTATTTTTTTAACATTTTTTTTTTCTGGTTACCTCTTCTTTTGGAATTTTGTACGGCCCTGCGGCATGTATGATTGTTGTCGTTGCCCCTAGACTTAGATGACTAGCTGTGCATTAACGATTAAGGAATGCCACATACCGTGTATCTTTCGATTAATCGTTTTGGTTCGTTATGTCCTCTTTACGGCCTTGTCATTTGCGCGACCATCGCCGGGCAAATCCTTTTTGCTGCTCTCACACGACGTACTAATTCTTTATTCTCCATCAGTTACTTAGATCGGTTACTTTCAGCTTTCTTGCTCCTTTCGAACGACTCGTTGGGTTGCTCTTTAGTAGAGACTGTCCGCGGGACTGATACCTCGGGGACTCTGCGATCTTTACTGGCCGCGGTCGATCGATACGAAAGAAATTATCGAGACACAGTACGGAATATCATTCCGTGATTGTCATTTTATATTCCGATCCGTGTACATTTCACTGTAAATAACATATGAAATCAAGGAACCATCATCTTCTTATTCAGCGAAGAAACGATCGAATACTTCTTAACCACAAAGAATCCGAATGAGAAGCAAACGAATAGATTATTCTCTCACAACCCTTTAAATCAATGTCGATCTCATTCTCACACCGATCGCAAACCGAGGGTCCACGAAGGTGTCAGTCCAAGACGAGACAAACCTTCCACAGAACACACGATACAGCTTGTCAGAGAAGAGAAGGGAAAGAAAAGAAAAAAGACACAAATCAGTTAAGCCACACCCCCAAGAGAATCACCCAATTCGCCCGAAAACCTCTG